TTCATATCATGCTAAGACGATAATCTACCACTCTATTGCCCCAAATTTTCTAGTATGCATCAATTCTTATGATTAAATATATGGTAGACATACCACATCAAATATGAGCAACTTGCAGACAACTTGATTCGGTTTTATATATATCCAAAATAATAATATTTCTCATTAATTAGCTTGGTATTGACAATTTGTGTTAAGTTTTGAGGTTATTATTTTATGAGGTACAAATTTGAAAGTATCTCTTACCAAATCTTTCATATAGCATAGTTTGTGGGTGAGAGTGTCTATGTGTGTGTCTATATATATACATATACATATATATATATATGCATACATTCAATCATTTGGATCCAACGGCTCAAAATCTTCAGGGATAAAAGCATGCAACTCGGCATAAAACATTTGTATGCAATTGGAAATTGGTTCATAAATTGACTTATTGGTCAAGTTAATTTCATACTTTAAACTCTTTATTAACATACTTTAGTTCATAAATCGTTATGTTCTGCTCTTGTTACACACACTTCTGATCAGAGATTGATTTCTCGCATGGAAGTTGAGGACTTAAATTGAGATCGAAAGAATAATCTCTCCCGTTACTTGATCGCCGCTGCTAGGCGTTGCCTTTAAATGTGCTATGTTTGGAGTCATTTTTTTTTGGGCTTTGGATCACTTGTCCTAAGCACTGAGTTTATAGAGTTTAGAACTTGAAAACAACTATCCCAGGCGCTCGGAAATCCCTATTGACACCTGTGCGCCACTCTTTGGTATGGGGTGCTGAAATGCACATTGTGGGCATTATAATTCACAGGGTTGGCTTGTGTTTGACTCGTTCAAAATTGCTCATGTTTGAAATCGGCTTGTGTTCAAAATTGGCTCGTAAACTGTGCGTTCGTGTTCGACTCGATTTAAATATTATTTTTCGTGTTCAGCTCGTGTTCGGCTCGAAACTGGTTTGTTAAAATTAATTATAAAAAATATATGTTGGGTGTTGTATTCAGACATGTACTAATTCTGTACAATATAAGTCACAAAACCACATGACCAAAGGGAATGTTAGACCACAACAAGTCTGGATCATCTATGAAATAATTCTTTTGATTATATTAATCAATTTTTAATTTTTTTAATATTCTAAATTCTATAGTCTTTACATATCGCACATTTAAATTTACTTATTTATTTATGACATCCTAAATTTTAAATTACATAAGATAAAATAAAATACTTTAAAATTCTTAATTTAGTTAAAAAACTATGTCTGTTTGTCCTAATACTTTATTTTTCAATATTGGACACTGGAGTACTACATAAAAAAAAGATTTATATATTTATCTGCAAATAATTAAAAATATGTGATTTGTCCTGGCCACGTGTCAAGGCCAGGTCATTTCCACGTGGCACAACAGCCTCTTATTTCCAGCCCCGTGGACAAAATCACGTGCCATCATGCTCGTGAGTCGTGACCTCCGCCGTATTTAATTTCCTTAAAATAAGAAAAATTACATTAATACCATTCAATTTTTTATATATTTACATGTCTAACATTACATTTAACTTTTTACATATATGCCATCTTCTCTTTACTTATGGAAATATATTTTATTTTTTAAAATTAAAATAATAATATTGTTGATGAAATATGAAAGTTTTGAGTGGCAGATATGCAAAAATACAAAAAATGGGTGCTTTAAGTGTAAATGCCGCTTAAAATAATTTCGGTGTCTAATCAAATAATAACATAAGAATGATTTAATTTTTGATAACTTTTACAATTTTCGACTGTTATCGTTCAATCATTCTCGCACGCAATTAGAGAAGGAAAAATTAGTCCATACGGATACATGCGGAGTCAGATTTTCACCATCGTTTAACGCAAATATATATTTCGACGGGCCTCACTTTCTACTTTTTTTTTTGTTTTTCTTTAAATTTTGATTGTGGTGATCAAAGGTGAAGATCGGACACCGCATGTGAGTGAGATAAAAGTTGTTACTACACTTATTATCATAATTCATGAATGTATTAAAATTTGAATTTTAAATTATCATATAAATAGCTAAATATATAAGACATGTAAATTCAATTACATTTTCAATTTAATTTATAGCATACCGTTAAATAATATAATATTAAGTTTTTAATATAACGTTAAATAATTTAACAGATATAAATTATATTAACTTTTTAATTAGCTAGTCCTACTAATTATATTTAAATCTTTTGACAAATTCTAATATCTTTTTATTTGTATGCCCATTACAAACATTCATATGTATACACACATCATTCAATTTTATATAATTTGATACGTCTCCAACAAATTTTCATAATCTGACATGAATTTCAATGCATAACATAAATCTCAAGACAAACTTTTGAGCAAAAAACACTCAAATTTTGATTAAGAGTTATTCATATTTCAGCAAACTTACAATCAGACTGACTAGCTCGACAAAACATACCCAATGGTACTAATATTGATCCTTAGTGAGTCAAAGATTGATCAATTTCGACATCGTTAAATCATTCAAATGTCTATCAAACGCGTTTGATCAAGAAGGTCATTTGAGCCGTCTGACCAAATTAATTTATATTTCGTTATTAATTGCACTTATAACTCTATAAAATAGAACCCCACCCCTCTTATGAAGAGGTAGCAGAGCTTGAGGCTTGAATGTATCTCACATCTAAATTTTCATTTCTACACATACAATGCCTTATCTTATGATGAAAAGATGAATTTGACTATAAAAATATAATAAAAAGTGTTATTTTTATATATTGCTCGTATATATACAAATTTTAATATGAAATAGATAATTTCATAGAAATTAAATGTATTGTATGTAAATGCCCCATTTATTTATGATGTACATCTAATAAAAAAAAATCAAGATTTTAAAACGTTTCTCAAAAAAATAATATTTTTAATATCTTAATCGTCCGGGCACAAAAAAAAAGGTAGTTTTGGGACAAGGCCACGTGGCAGTCGTGTCATGGTGGGGCCATATCTTGAATGAAGGAATCATGAGATAGCGGCACCATGCCATGGGCGACAGCTGCCTTAACGGTCTAAATCTTCGGAAATTAACATAAAACTCACCAAGATGTAAATGAAATTAAAAAATAAATATTTGGGAAGGAGTTATATATAGCGTTAAAAATGTATCCACCTAATCGAATAACATGGTGAGTTTTATCGTTTTAATTAAATATAATGAAAATTTGCATAATTGATACACAATACTTATAATTTACTCTAAACTAGATCTTGCCTGGTTTGTTTTGAATTCAATTCAAGCTAGTCGAACTCCCCATGAGAAAAAATATATTGTATTTCAAATGAGTTAACTACCAACAAATGACTCAACGACTAAAGATTGGGTCTTTTATATCTCTAATGTTAACTCTATGAACTCATAATTTGACTATTGAACATGGATATTGTGCACATAAGAATGTGTCTGCATGAATCTCAAAGCAGATGAGCGACCTGGGAAGGAAGCACGACCAATCGAACGGTTGTGGTAGGTGATCGTTTCAGATGAGTAGCAACAGAAAAAATACCTTACCAAATAATTGACAAAAGATGTTAAAAGAAAGCCCTGAAGACGGGCATCATTCTTGAAAACGATCGATGGCTCCTTCGGATCCAATGAATAGGTCCTAGGCTTTTTTATATGCAAATAATATTGTAAATTACCAAAATGCCCATCTGAAAAAAGTTAACAATTAGAGCGCTAATATGTACTTTGATAATATTGAGACCTAGGCATATAAGTACGAGACCATATTATGAATAAGATACACATTTCATTTGTTTACTATAACTCTTTCTCTTTCTCTCTTTTAATTGTCTTCTGATAGAATGTTCCATTCCTTGGGTGTGTTTCTCGAATAATCTCAGATTCAACATGTACAATTTGACTTCACATATACATCCAAAAATAGTCTTTACCCATAGAAAACTGTGATTAATTGCTATGTTTTAGCTTTGATTGTACATTTGTTGCTAAAGTCTATACATAATTAGAATAAAAACTTATGTAATTTTAAATTGATAAAGCACATAAATCATGATTGTATACATAATCATCCCATCATCTTTGGAATAAGTGGATCTCATTAGGATTCATTTGTAACACTTTACAGTGGGATTATAACTATTGTGAGGCTTATTAGTATTCTCTTTGCACTTCACTTCCAAAGGCTTGTACGGTGCCATCACTGTATAATTGAATTTTGTTGCAAGTGATGTATTGATCTTTTAAATAAAATAAATTAAAACCATAAAGTCTATTGAATGTATTTTTAGCTCTAAGTTGCTTGATTTTGTGTGCTTATTGTGGAGAATTGAGGGTGAGTCTAAGACCTTGTTTGAAGGAGCTTTGTCATTCGACTTTGTTTGAAGGAGATTTGTCGTTCGTTGAAGTTACTTTAGAAACCGCATGACGGAAAGAGCATTTTCGTCTCTGTTCTAAAACGACAAAAAAACTTTGTTCTATTGAAATAAATTGAGGATATATAAAATTACATTGTTTTATCATGCAAAATATAAATTTACGAGTTGGTGTAAAATTAAGCAGTGAAAAGATACATAAAGTCATAAATATTTTTTTAGGGCAATTAAATGCAAATCACCTGAAACTTCTTATTTACAAATCAACCCTACTCTTTCATTCATTTTCCAAATTATCACTCAAAAATCAAAATTCATGATAAAATTCTAACCCATAATTTTCATTTCTATCAAATTCTCAACAGTTATATCAATCATGTATTTTTACAAAAAATTTATAGGTGCTTGATCTATAAATATCAAAGTTTCTGGTGATCTTTATATTATTTTCCTTTTTTTTTAATTAAGTGTCAATTTATACATTTAATGCAGCCGCACAAGGTAATAATAAAGTGTTATAAGTATGAATATTAAAGTATAGGCATTAGATGTGTAAATCCAAATTAAATTAAATTTGCAAATAAAACAATTATCCATTTTGGGCATCAACTGAAAAACAGAGGAAGGCGGCGAGGCGCCGAACCGGACGACGATACTATAAGAGCAGGACAGATGCAGGGCAGCATTTCAGCAAGTTGCAGCCTTTTATAGACGATAAGAACCCCTCTATCTCTCTCTATCTCTAACTTTCTCTCTCTAGAGGCAATGCAAGAGATGTTGCACAATCTCAACCCTTCTTCTTCCTCCAACCTCTCCGTCCTTGAAAGGCAGAGAGCTCGTCTGCAAACGCAACAGAGCTTCGAATCCTATAACGAAATCAACAGATTGAGCATCGAAAACTTCATTTCTGTTCCCATTTCACCTCAGAATCTGCAAACCGATCAGTATTTCTGCGCCGATTCTTCTTCAAAGGCCAAAAAGGAAGGAGCTTTAAAGAAGAGAAAGGCATGGAAGTCTATTAAGGTAACAAAATGCTCTGTTTCTTCTGAATCCTTCTTCTTCCCCTGTTTTTAAGCTTAAAAATCTCTCCTTTTTTTTTGTCAGTTGGGTGGTATTGAAGACGAGGTGAAGAAGAAGAAGAAGAGGAAGGTTGACGTCTCGCCGGAGAAATTTGAACACGGTGGAGCGGCAGCGGCGGAGGAGGCGCCACCACCGCCGAAGGGGGACTTCATTCACGTTCGAGCTCGGCGAGGTCAGGCAACCGACAGCCATAGCTTGGCGGAGAGGGTGAGCTTCTTCTCCGTTCACCGTAGCTGAAATTAATCTGAGCAGTACTTTTAAGTTGGGCCACAATATTAAAATTTAATTCGGCTTTTATGATGAGAAAATAGGTAAATTTGATAATCTAAATATTAAATATAGGTAAATATATGTAAATATGAAAATCTAAGAGTTAAATATATTATGTTATAAATTTACTCTGTATTTACATATCTAATACAAAGTTGGATATCTATATTTATAAAATTATTTTTAAAAATAATAGAAATATTTGCTGAAAGTAAATATAGAATAATATATTCTTAAAATATTGCCCAAAATTTAAATTAAAATAATTTGATTTGAATGTTGCAGGTGAGGAGAGAGAGAATTAGTGAGAGAATGAAGTATCTGCAAGGGTTGGTGCCAGGATGTAATAAGATTACTGGAAAGGCGGGAATGCTTGATGAAATTATCAACTACGTTCAATCATTACAGAGACAGGTTGAGGTAATTAATATAAGTTGCTTAATTAATTATAATTAGTGAAATATTTTTACTAATTAATCTTTTTTTTTTCTATTTACAGTTTTTATCTATGAAGTTGGCAACTGTAAATCCTTGGATAGACTTCAACATTGATAGCTTCTTCCCAAGACAGGTAAATGTTATTTAAAAATAATAATTATATTTATTATAGTAGTGGATTGAATTCATCAAGGCAGTGGTCCTTCCTCTTATTTTATATATATATATTGTATACAT